TTCATTAGACGAGAAAGATACGAACAATTAACTCGGTATAATTGCGAGAGTACTTGTGTAAGTAATCCGATAGACCAAAAAACTTTTTAAGTCCCTTGACATCGACTAGCACAGGCCTGCCAGTGATCGCCTTAATCGTTTCGTGATCAGGGCGTACGCAGTGTTAACCCACGACGTGCCCAAGAAGGGATATTTTGCAAGCAGCGAATGCACACTTCTTGAGGTTTTCATACACCTTATACTTCCGCATAAGTGTAAGAACCTGACGAACTTTTGTTTTGTGGACTTCGACGCACGTCTTTCCATCCATATCCCAACTATGAACAAACACATTGTCAAAGTAACTCGGTGCAAATTATTCCATTCGTCTCATCAAATTTCTTACACATCTGTTGAAAGTTGAAGGGGCGTTACTCAGCCCATGTGGCATTAATAGCTAATCTCAGAGCATACCGCTCGGGGTGCTTACTTCTGTGTACTGGATGTCCTGTTAACACATTAGGATGTGAGAAGACACCCATAAGCAAAACGATAGTAATCTTTGACATACCATCTATGTTTACGTCCTTCCTCGGTATCAACGTCTGATCCGGTACCGTTGCATCATTCAGCTAGTCCAATGCATGCACATTCTACGTCCTCCTGTTGCCTTGCGCACACAGACGGTTGGAGCGATGTGAGGAAAGTTGACTCCCTCACATGACCTTCAGCAAAGCGATCGGCAAAGAATTTGTCGATCGCTGGTAATTGTTCACGAGGCAGTAGTCACTGCTTTATGACATTGTACGTCGAACCCTCTTTGAGCTAGATCAGTGTCAAGTGCCTTTTTTTTAGGCAGTTCACATAACACAAACTCTAAAAACACGTCCTTGAATTCGATCAAATTCTTGCATGAAGGGTTTGCCTGTAGCGACTCACAAATTATAACTCGTATCACTCAATCCTAGTCTTCTCATCAAGGGAACTTTAGTCCATCGATGAGCTGCTGCGAACTCGTTGGTTATCGGCAGATATAACTTCCTGCCAAATGTCGGTCCCATACTCGTCCTCTGTGACGATTACACAGATCTGCTTGACCTTGCCACTACGCAGATCTCGCAAGGATCGTTTCAGTTCTAGCGTTGGTAATTGTGTGATCCCTATATTCAAATTCGAAGGCGCGATCAGATCAAGTTTGTAATCACCTACACTTAAACCGTCATCAACAATGACATTCAATGCCTCGGTTCATCCCTGGAAACACTTTCCACAGGCTGCTGGGGACGTAATCTCTCATTTTGATGATGTCTTGTTATCTCATCAATAATTCATAAAAGTATCAATTCATCAAGCACGTGATGACTTATCCCTCGACTTTTTTTAGCTGTAGTTGCGCTTCCTCAGCTAGGTCCCTACGATCGACTCTTCAGCCGATCTAGAATCATCGTGTTGCCCTGTGTGGGCATCTGGTTTATTCTTACTTGAATGTCTCCCGCTAGGCGAATACTCGTGTCCCAATCCACTCGAATTGTTTATTAAGTGGATCTTTGGCTCTGCCTATGCATCCGCACAGCCGCCGAAGCTTCCTCCACAATGTATTTGGTTGTCAACTATAATTTCGTGCAGTCGAACGAATGACCGTACTTTAAGTGAGGCCATCTCACTCATTCGCAGTACATCCACATCTTGCGAACGCTCCAAGAATTTCATCAGATGGAAATCTGATGACGAAGTGGCAGGCGATTTTACACATCACTCCGCAAGATGACCCTTGGCTCGTAATCCAAGGGTCATCTTGCGGAGTGATAAAAAATGATGATATACTAGGGTAACGCTAGTTACCCTAGTATATCATCATTTTTTATCCGAATCAAGTACAACGACATCTTCACTGTATTACAAATCTTCTAACGTTTAAGGAACTCTCAATACACATTTCATTACTGCTGTCGATGCGCCTTCATTCTTGTACGAAGAATATCGCGCTCAATGAACTTGAGCATAAGATGCCTTCGTAGAAGCAATATCGCGCTCAACGAACTTGAGCTTACGATGTCCTAGTAGGAGAAATATTGCGCTCGACGAACTTGAGACTGCGATTCTCTAGCAACTGGCGACGAGCAAGGTTGTTTGACGCTTCACAGTTAATTAAGGCACAAGTGACAATTCTTTTGACACTTTAAGCATAGAGTAATAAGGGGTACGTCGTCACTAAGAGCAGAAACACACAAGACCAACTTTCATCAATAGGTTTTTAAATTCTCGTTTGGTTTTTGAATCAGTAGGGCGCTCCACCCCTACTGACCCAACCGTTATATTTACGGTCCGCCACGCTCTGTGACTTCGCAACAGCGTCGGACTCGCTTCCGTTGTCCTTCTTGGCAGATGTTCTATCCCTTTGCTCAGTGTTATGAGATACTAAGCGTGAAACACTACACACGTAGGCGTAGTGTCCTTCTTCCGACAGCGATTGCACTTTTGAAATTTCAAGCTACTTAAGAGCGAGATCTCTCGATCTCGACACTGCAGAGATACATTGGTTTCGGACACCCCGCCTCTACTTGTCTCGAAGGATGTTAAAAGACACAGCTAGTGTGGGCCTGTCTAACACCATAGTCCTCTTGCACCACAGTTGTAATCGCTTTCACAAGCGCCTTTAAATCGATGCAGAACAGATGGCTCCTTACGGGACCAATCTGAATGCGCTGTAAAGTATCTTGACAACACAAATTCACTTACAGGGCTCGCGACCGTGCAACTTGCAAGGCAATGAACGTGGGGAGGGGTGTAAGCATGAACACCACGCTTGCCTTGTTTTGTATTCAGGAGCTCTAAAAGAGTCTTAAACTTAGCAATTAACGGCTCAAACTTTTGGCTGAGCACAGGCTTAAAGACCGTTAATGATCTTAAAACGTTTGGATCGTGTAATTAGAGATTCAAAACTCGCATTCTGGCACGCCCCAACAAATTCGATTTGGCAAGCGCAACTTGCATTTACTCATCGTAGACGTGGCGAGCTTTACTGGCATCATCCACTTCGAGGACCATCTCAACGGGAAGGCTTTGTTGAATCCCCGATACTTGGAGACTTTAAACTTGAGAGTCTTGCGACGACGCTCACGCGTCAAACACTGCAGAAGCAGACTGAGACAGTTGCTGTCTCAGGACCTAAATCTGCTGGTGACCGTACTGATGCAGCAGGGTCACTTCAGCTCGCGACGCGTCAAGTTCTCGTCGTTAGAACTTGGAGATTACGGAAGAATGTTGGATTGTAGCCCTTGATGATAGAGACCAAACAGCTTCTTTGCCAATGTTCGAACTTTCGTTCGACCGCACTCCATTCGGCATAACTTAAATAGGACTAACCTTTACAGGTTCCGTGAAAGATATCGTCACCTTCGTCGTCCAACATGCTCATGTTGAACGGGTCTGTGTTCCTTGGACGGACTACAAAGTGCTATTAGGTGTAACTGGTCACCGGAGCAACACACTGGACAATTAGTGTGGAGCTTATCTCACCGACAGCAGCGTGATTGGTGCCTTGCTACCTATGTAAACTCGGCAGAGGGAGGGAAGTGAGCAGGGACTGACCAATTGCTGGTAAAAGAAAATTGTACTGAATTAATAAAGTCCTAATCACTAGCCTATGATAACTTTATAATAAAGTTAGGACTTCGTACGCTATATTAATGCATGTTTAACCTTTAAATAGATTCATCATAGTCTTTTTTTAATGGTTAAATATGCAGCAATATAGCGTACGAAGTCCTAACCTTATTATCTTAACCTGTAAAATCGCATGCTAAGTTCTTGCTCACCACTCCTAGCGCGCGTCTATCATTTATGATTGGAACGCTAGAGCTGGCTGGTAGGACGACCCATATCCGTCAATCGGTGAGTGTTTCTGACTATCACCCCTTATGGTTATATTCACGAGCTTTATTAGTCTTATAATAATATTCTAGTCAACAAGTAACAAGGGTAAATGACTGTCGCAGGTTCACCCTATTACAACTGAACTGGGTAATTGCAGACAAAAATAGCACCGTACTCCTCCTTCCTTGTCTGCTGTTGTAAAAGGTTTTGCAACTTCATTCAGTTCTCGGAAATGGATTACAAATACCAAGAAACGAGCTGCAGAGCTTGCCCCCCTATCTTAAGAGGAGGAGGACGTGTACCCATCCCACTTCGATTCGACTCCTTTACAATACGCCCGTCTTAACTAGATCCACTCAACCCACTCATCAATACTGGAGCCCATATTACAAGGCCAATATCTGTCGCCACAGTCAGGCGATGACTCGACTGAATTTCTAGATGAAACTGCGAACATACTGTTGATGTGCAAGAAGTATCTGATCCTGTCGGCCTGGTTTCCGCGCTCCATTATGTGTGAGTGGGTTAGGTGTATCTAGTTGTGACGACTGTGTTGTAGAAGGAGTGGTATCGGGTAGAACGGGTACACCTTCTCCGCTTTTTGCTACAGCCACTCTCTGTGTGACGGACTTCATTCATCAAAAGCACTGCAGATGAAGTAAGAACTGGTACCGCGCTTGGTGGCTGACCATAAAGTCAAGCTATTGACGCGTTGTCATGAGAGATTGCGAGCCTCTTCGAAAATAATTCGGTGGCAGGGGGTGCTCCAAATATTGTGTACTTGGATCGTTTTGCGCTAAAGCTTGTCAATGAGCTGCTTGCAATTCAACAGGATAGAATGGACAGTCTTGCAACGGCATTCATTCATAGGACAGAGCCCCCAAAAATCAAACGTGCACTGTCATCGCCAGACGAAGATAGCCATGCAGCGCAGAACTATCATGGTGTATTGATGGTCCACGCAGTGGCGGGTCAACATCTGCCGCTAATTAGGCGCAGGTGAGCAATCAAGAACTGTTCAAATAATCGCTTACATGTAGTCACATGCTGCACTGTAGGCGACAAAACAAGTGTGAGGAGATTGTCGAAAGGCAAACGGCGGCTCTTCCAAATTCGTTGTTGCTTATAAACTACTGCGCCGGATCTTAATTGGTCACGCACTCTCGGATAGCTTGGTGATCCCCATTAGACTCAAAGACCACACGAACCATGTCATGAAGAGCCCCTTCGAACGTCACTGCCATAACATCCATTTGACTCTGATTTCGAGTCATAATGTCCTCCAACTCATACTGCGTCGGCGTACTCTCCACATCACTAGTAGGACTCCACAAGCGAATGAAACTTTCAATCCCACTTGTCGCCAGACATGCGTCAAAGGGATGGGGCTGAACACAGTTCACAATACTCGCGTCTGCCTTTATTGCATTCACTAGCTCCCCCGTCGATTTTTCCCATACCAACGCACGTCCGTCGTCACTCCCAGCGATAATGTACGCGTCGTTTCTTCCGAAAAATGAGGCTTCTTTAATATCCGTTTGCACATTGCAATACCCAATATATCGACGAAGTACATCACAATTTACTAATGTACTGTTCACCAGCTTGCCCTCCCAAAATCCTTCGTCATCAGCCGGCACATTGCCCTCAATATCATCAATCCAGTCGTCATTATGAGCTTCGTCCTCGCTGCTGCTTTGCTCGTCTTCACCCGATGACCTGGAAGATCGGACGACACGCCGCACCGAATGCTCACCGCTTACAGTCGATGTGTTGCTCATTAAAAATTGATCGACATCGGCCCCGTGATCGAGGTGCTTCTCCTTGTACCGACGAGCTTGCCACCTTGCTTGTAAATGTCGTTTTCCTGAACTCAGCGCCTTGATATATGTCAATTCAACTTCACGATTGTTTGGATCAAGATCTATCGCCATCTTGCATTGCACAGCAGCCAAATAGCAGTCTGCATTCCATCGTCTCTCCAAGTAAGCCTTAGCGCAGTTGTGATGGAGCTCCACTTGCTGTGACGCAGACACTTCGGCCACTTTGCAAGCAGAGCATGCTAGATTCAGTGACTTCAGCGCACGTGTGTACTTACGCTCTTCGAGTGACCTCTTCCCCCGATTACACATCATTTGTATCTCCTCGATCTGTGGGCATGAAGGTAACTCTGGCTCATCCATGTACGCTCCATTAAGCCACGCAAGTGGCTGGATTTGAGGTCGACTCTTGTTTTCTTTGCGAAATACCACAGTCTCTTCCGAGCCCCCCACTTTGAAGAGGTAAATATGATCGCTGTGATAGTTCGCGAGAATCTCTGATCCGTCGCTGTTAAACTGAATACTTGTGCCATGACTTTTGTCATGCAATCTCTTTGTCCGGACGCTGCAATATGCATCCAAATGCAAATGCGGCGGCGCAAAAACCTCCACTGGACTCGTAGCTTCATCAAATCTACCTGACGAGATGTTCTGCACTCTTAGCATCCGTCGATCGTACATTCTCGTGTAAAAGTCACCACAAGCTAGTGCTACTTTTGTCGGGTCCAATGGATGCACTGTCATGCCCATTGCTTTCAACACATGGCCGTTTCGGTCTTTTCCCAAATTGATCAGTACACCAGACGTGTCACACGTGTCACACGATCCATTAGTCGTAGGCAGAGCTCGAAGGTCAAACTGGTACACTATACCATCTTCCGCTGCGGTCCAGAAAACTCTCGGCACAGCCCACGAGGTGCCAATATCTTTGACTCGATCTCGATGCACTCGATACACTCTCGACGAGGAGTCATGAAATGGTGCATAATGGATACGCACGTCATGGTCCATGGCACCCGTGGCTAAGACATGGTCGTCCGTGCCAGGGACAAAGCGCACGGCAAAGATATTGAGTTGATGGCCCGTCTCAATCACTTGCTGTTGCTTCTGCTGCCCGTAACTCCATATGAGCACCTTCCGGTCATCCGATCCAGATGCTAGGAACGTTCCTGCGGCGTTCCACTGCAACGTGTTCACGCAACCCTCGTGCCCTTTCAAAATGGCTTCACACTGTAAGCGACGAACGAGACTCCCGTGGCCTTGGCACGCAGCGTCAATCGTACGGGCGTCGCCTCGCACTTCACGCTCGAGCAGAAGCTGCGAGAGACCCACTGGCAAGCGGTGGTATTTCCAGTACCGGTCAAGGCGACGTCGTGGAGGGTGACGGTAGACGGCCATCGCTTCGCACCGGGTGAGCGAACTAGCAACTGAGGTTCTGGACGGGAGACGACGTCGACGACTTCAAGGTTGATGGTGATTGGCTGAAATGGTGAATTTGTCATTTGTAGCTGATAACGTGACAATGGATTGGATGAAAAGCTACTTTTGGTGAGCTGTGTCGTATTTGGGCTGTCGTTATGATCGAGTTGTGAAGTGTACACTTTTTGTACACATTTTTTTTTTTGAGCTGGCAAGCAGGGCATATCGGGCTCTACGGACAGTGCTTTTGGACATTAGCAGAATGCATACGAATGTATGATGTGGGTACACTTGGATGCTGCAGTGTGCATTGCACGAAGGGAAGTAAACACACTCGCGTTGGGTGGTAGTTCAGCAGCTTTAGCGAGGATGATCTTGTCAAGATCAATGCAATCATGATCACATGCTGGAACCGCTCGACATCCAGCAGCACAGAACAGCACCAACTGAAAGCAGAGACGAAAGACAATGCTTCCTCTTGCTTACTATGCAATGGTCATCTTCAAGTATCCGAAAAATCGAGGGATGTCGATCGCCCTATCAGTTGCCTTCATAGCTTGCCAGGATCTGCTCGATCTCGTCTGCCATCTCCTTAGCGCTCGGTCGTTTCTTCGGATCGTTATCCCAGCCCCTGACAATGAGGTCCTGCATTTGTTGAGGAAAGTCGCTCATTGCTTCCAGTGGTGGTCGCACACCTGCAGGCACCATCCGGTACGTCTCCGCTCTATCAAGATTTTCGAATGGCTTCACTCGAGCTCGCAGGGTCCAAAGTACCAAAGACAAGCTGTAGATGTCGAGCTTCTCATCGAGTTGCAGAAACTGATACTCTTCTGGAGATCGCCATTTCCCTTTCGCGACCGAAGCATCAAACATGCACATCTCATCGGTTGGCTTGCCGTCCACTAAGCGTGGGCCGGCATATTTCACACGGTTGAAGTCATTCAGCTGCAATGTGCCGTTTGCATTGATCAAAAACTGGCGAGATTGCAGATCGGTATGCGCAAAGGGGCCTCCTGGGGCATTGTGCAGCTGTGCCACGCCTCGGGCAGCATCGCGCGCCAGCTCCAACGCTCGACGTACCGGTACTGACTCGTTTGAGTCGAACAGCAACAAGTCAAGCGGGTGCGGAAGGTAGTCCACCACTACTGTCGTTTCACACCAGCCCACGAGCTTCACAATGTTGGGATCGTTGCGTATCGGGAAAATGGTCGCGCACTCCTCCACGTGGCGAATGACAATGTCCGGTCGACTCATCAGTTTCTCCTTGACGCGTTTGACTGCCACGTCACGTCCTACACCATCACAACGCCAGACAAACGATAGTCCACATATTTGCTTGTCAAATCATGAATAAAAGAACCGTCCCCAACAACAACAACAGAAAGTGTCGTCGTACCGTTCCACTTGGCCTTGAACACTTCTCGCCAAAACCCTTTGCCAATGTACCCCGTAATCTCCAGCTGTTCCATATTTTGACAGTTCAGCTCGAGCTCAGCCGGCTTGAACCTTGCTACAGCCGTTGTAAAATCACAGCCATTCTACAACATCCAACGCAAAGTCAGAAACCACATAGCACACTATAACCGTCGTATCTCGATCATATCTCCTCCCTACCTCTTTGCGATATATCTCTGGCACCAGCCACGAATCGCCATTTCCCTCCCCCGGTATCGCCTCATAGCTGTCGCGTAGCTCCTGAGCGACACCCTGAGCGTTTTCAGGTCGCAGAGAAGGCACCGCTGATAGCTGCTTGGTGATACTCACGTTCCAATACAAGTAGCTCACAACTGCAATAGCAGCAAGAGACTTGGCCACGAGCGGCAGCTGCTGTCGCCGCATGAAGCGAAGGGCGCGCCAGCGGGTGCCGTGAGAGCGAGTCGGGCGCTGCTGCATTCGGGCTCCTTATGACTTGTGGGGGGATTACGATGTGATTGATTGGCACCCGAAAGTATTGATGGCCAACGTCGCGCTCTCGTTGCGATTCGATTGTAGAGGGAAAGTCGCACTACCGGCTGAGCGAATAAGGTCGCTTGAATTACGGACAACCGATGAACGTGGCGGCGCGAGAGCCGTTGGCGATATCCGGGATTATTAGGACACAGCTGTTTCGTGCAGATTCGAATCAAAATAAAGGGGCAGCCACAGTTGTTTTTGCAGAATAGGCGACACAAAACGTGCCAGCGACCTATTTTACAGCACGCGTTATGTGTGGCGAATAGGTCACGGGATCCGGAGACGAGTTCGAATGTGATACGGGTGGTTCATTTCTGTTGAGTACTCGACTTGTCCTTGGTCTCATTCAAACTCGTAATGAGTCTACTACCGACGCTGCGATATTGTAGTAGGCTAGACGCGCAATAGAAGAAGAATGACTGTATTGTAACATTTTCTCACCGGACGCATGTGGATGCGATCCAGCAGAGATCGATCAGGTCGTGAAAGCGTTGACGAAAGTCCTTTAGCATCCTGCAACTAATGGTAGCTTTGCTTTTGAGTCGTACCTTTCGACGCTGTATCGGCGAACTGCGGTGGTGCTGGGAGCGTGCATCTTTTGTAGCTAAAGTCTACCGTGACGCAGGTAAGCTCATGCCTAAGTATGCGGAAGGCCACTTACAACGATACCTTACCGCTGAGGTGAAAAAGTCAATTGCCATGTCAAGCTACTCAGTAAATATGTAAGTTATCTATATAATGCAAGTGTCCTAAGATCGTAAAAGACACGGCGTTATGAGGTCATGAATCGAAGAAGCAAACTGGCGACGACTACGCATCTCAATCTTTCAATCGTTCCAAGCCTACGGCTGCGTCCAAGAATGCATCGCAGTACAATAATGTATGTGTGTTATAGGGTTGTTATCCACATCCTATCCGGCAAAATAGGAGAGATCGAAGCGAATCCCACCTTCCTCAAACCGTACGCAGCGCATGACTGGCAAAAGCGAAGTGTAGACAAGAAATGTATGCACTTGACATGGATGGAGAGAATCCACTCGCTAGCTGTCTCGACAAAAGATCTGTTTCGGATGTATTTGCAGGCATTATCACCGATACCGACCGGTCGAGACATACATTTCTACGTAGGCCGCCAGCGACACCGAGTTATATGACATATGTTGTGAAAGTTTTTCTAATGACAAGAGCGTGCCAAATTCTATTAGCTTGCAATCCCTTTCACAGCTAAATTACCCTCCAGGTTACAAAACAGTGCTTATGCTCCTCGTTGAGTGAAAGACCGTTCGAAACACGGCACACATCCGTGCAATTTATCGAATAAACTGACAAGCACAATCACAAGCACAGCAACAGGGTAGCTCAATTGTAATGTTATTCGATCACCTGCACTCTTTGTCGCCTCGACACAAACATTTAAATAAAACGAAGCTCCTGCACGTTCGTATCAGCGACAGTCCTATTTTTGATCATTCGACCAAACCCATGTGCTAGGTTTTTAAGCTAGCCATTACCCGACGGTTTAGCATCTGCGTGTTGTTCTTTGGTCTACAAACCATCAAATGCATCAGCCACGATCCTGTGAAAGAAACGATAACGATCGGACCAAGCGCAAGTGCTCTTGCTGGAGAGAGTCGATTAGTTTATTTAATTCCTTTAATGGCAAAAAGCAGCTTTGGTTGTGGCTGACGACAATGGCAGAGCTGCTAAACATGAGCCCAGTGAACACTATGTGTGGTAACCTGATACAAGCAGCAGTGCATTGCATGCACTATTATTGTCCAGTCACCGTTTCAGCTGATTGAATATTTCAAGTTAAGGAGGAATCCCAGCGAGCTTGACACGAACATGCTTTCATATCAAAGTGGGCACGAACCACTTAACAAGAACCAAGCCCCCATCAGTTAAAAAATTTCAACAAACACAACAAGTAAATGTTGAAACAGTTCATTTATGTTGGTCGCCTGTATATGATAGAGTCGTTAAAAGCTAAGCGGATTCTCGGCATACCCGATCGTTTTTGCAATGGCAATTGATATTTCCACCACACATTTTACTATTTCCACCACACAGTAATACTCTTTATTTCTTTACGGGCGCACCACACCGCACGCGTCTACCACACACATCGCAAATAGTGGTAGACTTTCCCAGCCGAACTCTCAGATCAATGGGATCTGGCGCCAGTTGTGTGCAGCACCTTATCGACGCTGGCTATCGGCTCGTTCTCTCCCGTGCTAGCTATGGCAATTTCCAAGACCTTGGCCAGCACAAATGACCGCGTGACGCATCTCGGCTCCTACTGGCCGTGGCAAGAATCATACGTACGTCGTGCCATTTGTCCAGCGAATGCTCTCGCGTGTTTTCAGTCGTGTGCGTGCACTTATTGTCGTACGTATTCGAGATCTATCCGTCTGGGTGCAGGCGATCGTGCAGTCGTTTTGCCAGAATACACCGCTATATTGTGAATTAGTTGTTGGGTAGAGCAATTTTGCAACCGAACAGCGTGCACTTGTCGATGCTGAACATGGCTATGGACCAGACGTGAAGGACGCAATGTATGGCTGACAGAGTGCTGTTGATATTGTGGTGGCCACGCCAGGTGATCGGTGGACCTTTTGGAACAAACACGCGGCTTTACGTTGCAGCTTCTACAGCTCTTTGCTGTCGATGAGGCTAATCGATTGTTGAGTCAGTCGTACCAAGACTGAATTGCTAAGGTTTACAGCATGGTCTTTGCTGGACAAAAAGTGGATGATGACGTACTGGCTGGTGATGCTTGGGGCATCACTTGCGGCAACAGGACTCGATTGACGGACGCCGATTTTGTACACTACTAATGCGAGTTCCGCTGTCAGCAACGTTGACGCGCAATTCGCGTTAGCAAGCAGCCATTAGGATAAGTAATGCTAAGCTGATCACGATTGAGCTTAATGATGACCCGCTGGCTAATAATTCTAAGCAGAGCACAATTGGTGATTCTTCAAAGTATAGAAATCGTACAAAATGGCAGTCGTAAACCTGGTTCGTGCTCACCGTCAGCAACTCATTACTTATATTCCAGCATTTGACGTCCGTATCGGACATACCCGTGCACGTAATCTAATTATCGTTATTCGCTTTTCCTCATGTGACACGGGCCTTTATAGCGCACAAGACCATACGTCATGGGTGTAGCTTCCACTACCAAAAAACGTGCCTGCCTACGCTGCAGAAATAGGTCGTGAGCACCAAGTAAATATGTGGCTTGTTTAAAGGTCTCCAACGCAAAAGCTCAGGATGCTCTGAACTTGTGGGGTGGATAGGGGGCAGGTCAATATCATGTAGAAGTACTCTTATGTGCTAATTTAGCACAGTTGTTTCTTGGTAATGTGAGGGTGCTCTGATCGGAGATCATCGTTGAGGGCGGGAGTGGGAGTGATGGTGTATGTGGTAGTTGAATGTGGTATGGTGAGCCTGTAATGTTATAATGAGGGTCACGATGCGGTGAAAATACTAAACTTAATAGGGCAAATAACAATCTCTTTTTGCAAAAAGCCTTAATTCTGTGTATTAATTAGTGCGTTTTTCTTGACAGTGGGATGTGCACTTTCTGCATTACCTTGGCAAAGTGGTGCCACAGACTTTGCGGGTTGACGATCCGTCGCAGCTTAAATATCTACATTTAGTCTGAAAGAGGTAGCAGTTCCGGGAAATGCTAATGAGTAGTTTATTTTCGCGTCGCGGCTGCTAAAAATCGCGATTATAATAAGTACTTGGGTATCTTTGATAGCAGTGCACGAACCTTATGTGGTTGGTCACTTCAGCCACACCAATGTGATGCGCAAAAAGTACAGATCACGTCGACAATGTGAGAGAGGGTGCACAAGTTGGGGATGTCCACGTGGAATGTAAATCGGGTACACATGGTAGTGTTCTCGGTACCTGTGTCGTAGACACACGGGATGCTATTCCACTGAAAGAGATATAGAATACCTATCGGTTTGTAGGGGCTGACGGGTGGCAGCCACAAGACAGGAAATATCGTAAAGATACTAATTTTAAACACGAGTGCCTGGATCAGGTGCTATTAGGATTTAGATAGTCTACAGAGTTAAGCGTAAAACTAAAGCTCAGTTCTTCTTTTGGTCTTGTCTAGACACGTGTTTTGCGAGACATCTCATCATCTATCGCTAAGAGTTAGTAGCTGAGGTAGCTACTCTTGAGCACTAGGTGATGTAGATTTACTGAATCGTTCGGTCCCCTGGAACAGGGACCTTAAGCTTCACACTTGTTGACTCATAAAGTCTAGTTCTTTACAGCTATTATCGCTCTTTGAGCACTAAGTATTCCTCTGACATAAGGAGTTGTGTAGCTCCGCTACACTTGGTTGGACTTGTAGTCAAATGATGCATGAGTCTTCAAAGCTTGTATGAATGGAAATTCCACTACCTCTATGAGACTTAAAAGGTCGCGCGTGATAAGCTGACTACATCTTTAGGTTCGGAGTGTGTGGAATATCTTGAATCGCAAGCCCCCAAGGTGCTGACTGCCCGTGTTGAGGGCTTCTTGCAGTATGATGCGTCCCTTCTAGGTCAACTTTAAGATCAAATGGCGTCGGCTGTGCCTACACGCTATGTTTCTATTCCGGACTAATAGGCTAGGCCTCGTCTAATTAAAGTGGAAGTTAAATTTACTACTAAAAAGTATGGTGAAAACCTCATTTCTGATCCGTAAGATTGATATGGCCATGAGGCGAGGCCTAACCAAGATTGACCATCAACAGTTCTTTTTGGCTATCCTGGTGCTTGATGAAAGAGCTAGATCATGGACCTTGACGTGTAGCACTTCGGTAGAATTTGCGCTTCACTCATGGGATCGCTTAAGTCACAATCGGATGCCCAATACCTAATTAGGCTTACCGCGTGCGGTCGCGCTTTTGATCAACCCATCAGCGTAATAAT